TAAAGTCTTTGGTTTACCTACCCCACCTGTCTTTGAGAGTCTTTTGCTTTTGTATCATCTTAAAATATACACTTATGCATTACTTTAATCCTATTTCTGCTACTTCCAGTGTTTAACTAGCTTTTCTTGTGCTGTTAAGCAGCCAGTTATCTGCTTCAGGAATATACCACTTTTTTCCCATCTGAGTTTAAGACTAGAGAGGAGAAATCATTCTGAAACAAAGGATATTGTACTTGTAATGTATCTACTCTGAAATTCATCCAGAATAAGTTTAGGTATAATTTTAAGTAACTGCAGTCAGCTGTTCTATTTCTAGACAGATGCATACTGTTTCTCTCTGTCCTGCTGACAGCCAGCATTTCAGAGAAACAAGCTCTTGTGTTTCAGGTTGGTACTCCCATTTCTCTCCTAAAGCCCATTTTAGATCAGTGAATCGTTCTACTATTGTTATCACTGGTTCAATTTAAACATTATTGGTAAAGTTGAAAGCCCCGGTGAATGCAGAGGACAGGTGTAGTACCCAAAGCTGCTTTTAACTCATTTTCTAAAAATAATTAACTAGATTTCAAATTGACAATGTCCTTTCATGTCAAGATTGTGCAGCTTTGTTTTAGTATCTGTATTTCCTGTGAATGTTCTGTATTGGCTTTGTTTGCATTGCTGTAGTCCACTTACCTCCAAGTTTCTGCTATAAACCACTTGTATTCAAAAGTTTATAATGTAATTGTTGGTTATCTTCTTTTATGAATTGGTAGGTCTGATTCCCTGTATCATGTTGCACTGCCTTTAATAGGGTCTTAGACAACCACACTCAGATATTATTCTTCTCTAGACCAATGAAAACTCGCTTTGTTTTGGAGGTTGCAGGTGTGGTATTTAGAGGAGGAAGCAGCTAATTGCATCTGTGTCTCAGTGCTAAATACCAAAGAAGCAGTTGATGATAAATTGATCAGGCAATATATTCTTAAAATGGGACCCCAAGATCTTATTCCTTCAGTCTAAACATGGTAGGGCCTGATTTTACATCATAAAGGAAGTGAATGCACACTGTTTCTATTTTGAGAGTTGTATAAGTTCCCTTCTCAAATATAATCAATTTGTACTCCATTAATAGACTTTTAAATACAAAAACATACCAACTGAAACTGGTCATATTGTCAGTACTGTCATACTGTTTTAAACATAGTTTTTTTTTATTCCTTGAGTTGCACTTCTATGGCTCATCCAGAGTATGTTGGAGACTATAAATTCCCTTAATTCAGATGGAAACTGTCAAGTAAACATTCACCCCATATTCAGAACTTGCATGATGGAAATAAGTTTTAAAAAACATTACATTTGACACTATTTTTATGATTATTTTTTAAACTTCAGTGATCAGGCTTTAACATGCAATCTTGTGCACTTTGTTTACTCAGATTTAAACATTCCGTACTCTAGTTGCCTTTGACAAATAGCTAGAAATTAAGTCTATCGAAGAAACAATCTACAGAAGCAAATGGTATTTTCCCCTCCATTCAAAAGAAAACACTCCTCAAAACTTAATCTCTTAAATAAAAATCCATACTTCCTTGCCTACATGGATGGGCTGTGCAGTATGCCTTAAAACCTTAAAGGTCAATAGTGGGCTATTTTGGACCATAGAGGGGGTGAATTCTAGAGTCAAGAAGCTCTCCGGGAGAAAGCTTCTCCTGTATACAAAGGGATCTTGAAAATCTCCATGGATCTCAATTGAAGCAGTGTGGTTTGTGGAAAAAAAAGTCTTATAAACTAGAATTTCCACACTCCCCTAGATGTTGGACAATAGAAGTGGCTTTCTGTTTTCTCTCTCTTTCACTAAAGATGCCTGGCTCTGAGCGGGGGTGGGGTGTTGGCTTTTAAAAATTTTTTCCCAGCCTTGTATTTCTGAGGAGACTTTCCATGTGAGTAACTCCACTGCCATCTCTCATGCTATTTGTAGCTTTCCCAAGCACCAGCATGAAAATTATATAACTTGTTCTGCAGCCAGGATGCAGAATTACCCCAGTGAAAACTGACCAGTGTAACAATAATTTCACTCTAATTCTTGCTTGGCAAACTAACTAAATAACTGTAGACTCTGGAAGCCTTTGTGTCTGGTTCATATTTGTCACATTATTTCGGCCATTATATTACTTCCCACATGTTGCTGGAGAGAATTTTTAAACCCTGTTGTAAGTGCTTATTTAAACTACAGAAAGTTTAAAATATTTGAAAAATCAAGCAACTCCCATCCATTGATTAAACAACCAGTAGTTATTACATATTTTTTAGGAAGACACTAGCAGTTTAGCTATCAGATCTTTCATGTTAACCTATATTTTAAAAAAGATGCAGGATTGGAGGATATAAATGAGGCTTGGCAGAATCAGTCTAAATTTTATACCTAAAAATTTGATAGTTGATCTAATCAAGATATGTGATACTTCAATTAAATAATTGATGTATTTCCAAAATAGTTTGATCTTGTAGTATAGCTTCATATGCCAGTATTCTTTGGTTTTTAGGTTCCTTGCAGAATTACAACTGAATAACTTGTCACAACTTCTCTTTATTTATATATAGGGTATACCGTATTTTCCGGCGTACAAGACGACTTTTTATGCTAGAAAACATCCCCCAAAAATTGGGGGTTGTCTTATACGCCGGGGCTTTTCTTGCCCCGGAGGACACAGACTGCGGGACCTCGCGGTCCCGCCGCCCGTGTACTCCGGGGCGAGAAAAGCTGCTCCGCGTCTCCATGGTCTGCAGACCAGGAAGACGCGGAGCAAAGCTGTGGAGGGGCTCCAGCAGCGGGGCAGCCCAGGACTTTGCTTCGGCTTTGCTCAGGTCTTTGCTTCGGCCCAGGTCTTTGCTTCAGCTTTGCTCCCTTTGCTCCCGGTGCCGGGGAGGCGGAGGGGTCCCGTGCCTCTGAGGCTTTCCTCT